ATGCAAAGGCTGTATATGTCTGTTAAATGGTGATATTTTCTGTGTTCATGCCAACCACAAGGTCCACCGTAGTGCACTGTAACCCAGAACCTCCCCATTGTACCAAACACATTCTCTGTATGTTTCTTAAAAATACAGAGATACAGGCAGCACAGTCGATTCCATCTGCAAATACAACTGCTGTGATTGGAAAAACAAACATTGATGCGATTACGCACTTGCGGTACAACAATAGAAATGCTTCCACTTACACCCAGTCCATTCGTTCCTCATCTCTATAAATAGCCTAATGCTTCACAAATTACACCTACTTCAGGAGAAAGTGCGGGTATTTTGTTGCTTGATGCATTTCAAGCACTCTTTTTTGTGGCTTTGCTGGTTCTAAGTGCTTGCGTTGTATCTGCCTGATTGCCTCCCTCTCTCTCCAGCACCTTTCAAAAACATTTTAAGAACACTCAACCATTTTTGTCTCTGTATTGTCATTTCTCTTTCAAGGACCTGCATAATAATAATAATAATAATAATAATAATAATAATAATAATAATCTCTATTTCTGGTACACCAACACAAAGCAGAAACATCTTTAATTAAAAAGAATAGGTTTGTTTGTGCTCATGGTCACTTAGAAAGCTGCCTTTCCTGGAGCAAAGCCTGGCGTCATGCTAACGGGCCGCGTTCTCCTGCAGGCCAACGAGGAGAGCTGAGCTGGACCCCAGCAGGGCTTTACCCTCTTGAGTCTATTGGTTGAGTGGCTTCTCAACAAGTGCTGGTTTCCAAGACAGACAAACCCCTGCGTTGGGGCTCCTCTACACACACCAGGGCTATGCTTTCTGGGTGTTTTGTACCTGGCATGTGGTTTTGCACAAAAACGATGATCTCAACAGGCTCTAAAAATGGGACAGCCTGCTATTTCTACTTTTCTCCATGAAGGGTTAAATAAGGAGAGATGATCTTTTCTTACCTTGTGGGTTGCAGGCCAGAGAACCTGAGTGTCACCCATGTGTCACCCATGTGTCACCTGTGTCCTGGACTGTGCCTGAAGCCACAAGAATGGTATGCTATGGGAGGTAGAAATGTCTTACTTTTGCTCTTGAATGTCCTGCCAATCTGCATCATAGACCGGATTGCAGGACTCATGGGATGTGGCTGCAGAGACAACATGACAGCGCAGGGAAAAAAGCGAAACAGAGCCTGTTCCCTGCGGACAGCGATTTTTTTTCCCCGATTCTGTTGCTAGACTTACCTCACCGGGCTGAGTGCAGGGCAACTTCAATTTTTCCCTTTTCCACCTCCAACGTCAAGAGAAACTTTTCAGGCAGTAACTCACAGGGCGCAGCAAACGGTGAAGGAGAGCTTCTCTCTTACAGCACTTCATCTTTCCCGATGGCTTGAGCGATCCCGCCTCACATAGTGGGCATTTAACACAACATCTGGATGGGAAAAGGTGGGTGCGCTGGCCTGTGTGCCAGTGGGCTTCAACCCATGCTTTCAAAGGGAGGTGCCCATTGAGGTAATGGAGCTGCGTGCTGGAATAATAGCATTGGCTATTTTCAATCCAATACCTGAGTCCCCACGCCGTGATGTTCTGGGTCCGTCCTGTGAATGACCGCAACACACCATGGAGATGAGGGATAAACATAACGAAAACGAAAGGACTTGTGTGACAGTGCTGATTACTAACTATACTCTACTGTATAAATAACAATTGAGGAGGAACCTGTCGTCCTTGTTCCATGCATTTTAAACATTCACTATCTGCAAAGCAAAATGACAGGCGAGAATAGTTTGAGGGAGGTGAGGGTGTTATATTATTTAATTGCTTACACTTACTGTTCATAGCACTTCTGGACAATCCACTCAAAGTGCTTTACAGGTAATCCCCTCCACCATTACCAGTGTGCAGCCCCACCTGGATGATGCGCCAGTCCTCACCCCCTATACCAGCTCTCACTGGGGAGGAGAGCAGAGTGATGAAGCCAGTTCAGAGATGGGGATGATTAGGAGGCCATGATTGGTAAAGGCCAATGGGAAATTTGGCCAGGACACAGGGGTAACACCCCTACTCTTTTCGACAAACACCCCAGGACTTTTAATGACAACAGAGAGTCAGGACCTCTCATCCAAAGGACAGTGCCTGTTTACAGTATTACAGTACGGTGTCCCCGTCACTATACTGGGGCTTTAGGACCCACACAGACTGCAGGGTGAGCCCTCCCTGCTGGCCCCACTAACACCTCTTCCAGCAGCAGCCTTAGCTTTCCCAGGAGTTTCCCCTCCAGGTACTGACCAGGCTCACACTGCTGGGCTTCAGTGGGCTGCCAGCTGCGAGTTGCAGGGTGATATGGCTGCTGGCTTACCCCCAGCCTGCCTCTTCTCAGTATGTTACCTTTGCGCTCAGTGGACATTCTCCTTCTGGCTGCACAGCTAAATGGGATCAGGCTACTTCTGACAGCTCAGCATTCCCACGCTACCCCCAGCCTCATCTTCATGGACTGTGGCCTCCATGTGACCTCCTGTGGAACCGGTGTACCGCTGCACACTGTGTGAAGGATGGGACCCCCGCAGCCAGCCCAGATCTCCTCTGACAGATGGACAACCTCATCCTCCCCGGGTGCCCCCTGCAGTGACTGGCCCCCGTGCTGGTCAGGCCCAGTTCACGCATGCATTCACAAGCACAGGCGCACACAGACCCCGGTCTGTCCCCCTGCAAACAAAACTGGCAGGCTGTGGCAACAGCACATTGCAAAGGTATTTATTAAATAAAAGAATACGACTTGCAAAATTAAGGGGTAGTACTGGAAATATACGATTTTTCTCATCTCATTTTTTTGGTAGTAATAATGATTCCAATAATTATATTTTTTTTCCTTTATAGGCAGTGTATTCATATGACAAGTGCATTTTGCAGGGTCTCAGGAATACTGTAATAATACTCTTTAAACAGAAAGAGCAGAGAACTGCACTGTGAAAGCAGGAAGACTTATTAAGGACAGTCAGGCTAATCTCTTTTTTTTACAAAATACAGACATATATAGCTTTGGCTTAAAGACTAAGTACTGTAAATAAAGATTTGCAGCTCAAAATGGCCCAAATCGCATTTCATTTTGATACAGAGAGAGTTACTTGTACACAGTTCACAGCAACTATTCACAGGGATCTCTTACTGTGCATTCCTGTTGAAAGGTACATCTTTAAATGAAAACAAGCATGACAGGCCTATTATGGCTACTTTAAATGCTAAAAATGCACTTTCCATTATCAAGAATTATACATGAAGTACTTCCTGTAAAAAAATAAAACTGAAAAAATAATCAAATTAATTGGGGATTTGTTCATTAACAAGCATTTTGAAGCAAATTTTATTTTACAACATCGTTGTGTATAATACTTCGAAATAAATATTACATTCTTACAATCTACAATGCATACTATGTATATTCCAATAAAGTATTCACCTGAGATTTTAGGTGGGCAGGGGCTGTTTTCTTTTGTAAAGTACCACAGAAATGAGTGCAAAAGAGAAAAAAAAACAACAACTAAGCAAACAAAATTCAAAGGTAGAGCTTTTTTTAAATAAAATAAGACGGCAAATTAAAACGTATACATCACTACTAAAGAAAATCCATGTTTATAAATTCAAATGAATCAGACAAATGCTGGTCATTCATGTACTCTATGATTTTCTTCCCATTTCCTTAATGTGCTGCAGCTCCGAACATTTTTTTAATAATTCCTAAATCTGTGACCCCTCACTGCTCTTCGAAGTAGCCTTCACCTGTGTCTGCTCAAGGTCTTGCACACCAGAAACTTCCCAGCAGCTTGTAAGATCCATGTCACCAACTGAAGCATGTGCTCGACAATTTTTCACTGGGGATCTTCGCCTCGACTAGCCTGAAACATGCTGTTAGCACATCTACAGTAAAGTCTGCTGCATGTTTCACAGGTTGGAGAGCACGCTGAGACAGTTCTCATAGGTCTTACAAGGTTGTGCATTGCAACCTAACTTGAGCTCTGCTGCTGTAGCTAAGATTGTAATCTGAAGACTGGCTCGATAACCCAACAGCACCTCTTTATCTTTGTGTTGATGGAACATGTTCAGTGCTGTACGAGAAAATGCACGAAACCTCATCCTGAACTTCAGCTTGCTGTACATGCCTTTAAATTGCTGTTTGGTCCCATATTTCAGTAAACTAGAAACGCTGTCAGAGAAGTGAAAACTAAGGGATCTGGAAATCTTGTTTTTTTCAGGAGGGCATCCTGCTACCAGCATTTACTATGAAACAAAACTCATCCTGAACCATAACTGGACAAAGGATCGGTGCATATATCGAGAAAAGACAGACGCACAGCACACAAAACTGCATAGAATGGACAATCAGGAATGCGATAAAACATGGCAACATCTCATAATGTAGCAAAAAAACCACAACACACTATAATTCTTTATCTTGGCCTTTGAAAAACAATTAGGAGTGCCGGGTCTCTAAAGAGACCAGCTTTGAGAGAACAGCAGCCAATCTCCGTCTATCACGTAGAAAGGAGATTCACAGGGGTATTGTAAGTGCCAAATCTTAAAGATGTTTTATTGGAAACACTTTGTCTTTCAGTCATTATTAAAAGCACTGTTCTTCACATATATATATATTTGACAACCTCACCACCCCTGGTCACCGTTTATTAGAACAAGTCTTCGGTGACTACGCCTCGTTGTCCGGTACAGTGTGTGTATGTCTTTCTAGTCAGTATTTCAGAAGAAAGAAAAATCATTAGCCAAAACAAAAAAAGAGCTTCTGTTCTGATTGAGCTGTACTCCTGCAGTCTTTACAAGCCTTGTGCCCTCTCCGTTCAGAGTTCGTGTCTGTTTTGTAATCCTCTGCCTGTGTGTGTTCTTTC